AGTATAACCTTTTGTCATTATACCGACCTCAACACGGCTCTGGCTTTCTTTAGACGGGGTCCCAAGCTTAACCCTTTGATTAAAAAGCAAGCTACTTACTCCAAGACTGACACCCACTTGCAGCCGCATCTGCTGATGAATAGATACTGCGGACTTAAGATTTTTTTAAAGCATTTCCACTTAAAGTGCATTGATTGAAAATGAAAAATGCATGCAAGCTGACTCCTTTTTACCCCTATTACTATCTATACCATTACCTCCATTCTTTATTTGCTTAAATTTAATAGCTGTTCGCTAATTGACCATAATTACACCCAACAACAAGCAAAATGAAAGAACAAAAATTACATTTCTAAAGAGTCCAGTCCCCTCTAACAAAACCCGATTTGCGTTTAAATAGGGTTCCTTAATGTTTAGTTAAAATTGTTTGTTTTTCGCCCTTTTTACCGTTATATTTAGGCTGGCCTTTACTTGAATCTGCTCGGCCTGTGGTTATGCTGTTTACCTTTGCTTTTAACTACATTTCCATAGCAGAGCCAGTGAATCCAATTGAAATTTATTCACCCGTAAAACTAAAAGCGGCGTTATGTTATTTCGAATTCGTGTTTGCCTAGGACAAAGATATGTATATTCACATATTTACTCATACTTACATACAATATTTGTTCATAGAACTCAAGCACTTTGTGTGCTGTTGGACTTTTGCTGAATATGCATTTGAGTGCTTCTGACCTAGCGACTCTCTCAAGTGGATATGCGGGTGGTGATTTCCTGGCTGGTTGAGTGTGGTGATCCCAATTTCGATTTCCGCTTGAAGCTACTGGAAAAATATGGAAGCAAACACTTGTACTGACGGCTGTTTAGGATTTTTGTGCCTTTGAAGTTTACATCTGTGTACATTAGGGTGCATTACTCTCCAAAAAAAAAAAAGAATCGGTGCTGTTTTTGTATCGGTATTATAAAATGTATTATATTTTAAGGCTGCCACCATAATATTTCGAAAAAATATTAAGATTTATGGGAGCTGGCTCGATTTGAAAATTCCTACGAAAATCAAGTTTTGAGGTTTGAAATTTAAGAAAAAAAATAAAATTTGCTTAGGTCTTATGCATACGGTCCATTGTTTCGAATTCAGTTGCTTTGTAGCCTAAATCTTAAACAGACGGCAGCGTTGATCCGGATTAACTCGGACTTGATCCGGATCAACTGCAGTTAATTCCCGAGTTGATCCGGCTCAACGCTGCCGTCTGTTTATGCTTTAACATACTGTTGGTTGGTTTTTGTTATTGTTGCAGTAGCGCCACTACTAAGCCCTGCCTAAATCGGCTAGTCCTTAACTCGTTATCGTCATCCTATTGTTGAAAATACTGAACTATTTCTTTAAAAGTACAGTGATGGATCTAAGATGTGCTTCAGTGTAGCAGCAGAAGTCTACAAGGTTCTTCCTGGTGGATGTTATAGATATCATTGAAGCCTGCAAAATCTTAATTAATAGAAAAGAGTATAAAATCAAAACAACAAATCAGATACTTTGACAGCCAGGCTCCAGGAATGCAAAATAAAATTGCGCTCAGTCTCTCAGTCAATGGTCGTCACTCTTGTTTGGATATATCGAAGCCAATGAGGGATCTACTGAAATGGCTGAAGCGGTTGCACTGGTTTGCGCTCTTGTAATGATCCAAAGAGAAATGAATCTACATTTCTTTGGACTGGCTTGTTTCAAACAGTTCTGTTCATACATACAGATCTGCAAGTTAACAAGGGAACTCTAGCCTGACTGTAACAAGACGAAGAACTCGGACCTGCTTGGTGGATCAAAGACAGAAGCATAAAGAATAATAGCAACCATAACGGAGCAATGGCACCTTGGAAGCATGCGGCAGGGATAGGGTTTCCCTATAATAAAACTTGCCGCTGCTATCAGTTAGAAGAAGAAAGTAACACACTGTGTGTGTGTCGTAATGAATAACTATAAAAATTCTAAAAACCTCAACTTCATTTTATGGCTTCGAATGGGAAAAAAATATTGATTAGATTTGCACTATTCCAGATTATTTTGGCTTAGATTGTGGAGGTTGGTGCGGGAGTTAAAAATTCGTTGGACTGCTTTCATGAAGGATTTTTTTTATTGGCTTGGGATTGGATGTCCCATTTCTCTATTTCGATTTACAATCAGTCAGCTACCAATGTGTATGTATGTATGTATGTACATGCAAACCTATTATTTTTTGAATGTGAGAGTTGTGTGAAATATGCGCCGCTTTTGTGGCGCCTACTTTCTAATTTTACGATCGAATACCATTTTATATATTTACGTTTGCGGACGAAAGGGACCAACAATAGCAGGGCATAAAATACAGAAAAGAATAATTTGTATTCACAAATTTACCGACATACACTCTGTCCTGTTTATTTAATAGTTTTTATATATATATCGATTTTTTATTCGACCAATTATTTTTTTTCACATTTCCTAATCTACGATTCCTGCCATTTGAGCGCTGCTGACTCATTTTTATTAGAAACTTACATTGTCCATATATTCAAACATTTAGCAAATGCAAGCATATAAATGCATATGTATGTATTCACATGTAGCACACCATAGCACCCATTCACATATTTTGTATATCCTTTTATTATGTCTGTATGTAAGTGAACGTAATTTGTTGGCGTCAGTTTGTATGTGAAAGATATTTTATGCTTTGTGCTTTTTAAGCACAATTATTTAATATTTTTATTCGCAAACATTTTTCCTTCTAAGATACGTATGTATGTATTTATCCTTTTGTCTGCGCTAGTTTTTGTAGCCTTTGCATTCGCCTGCCTGTTTTTATGTTTTAATCTGCATGTATCTATGTACATATATGTATGTATGTACTCCTTTTAAAGAGGGCCTTGTAATGTTCTACTTTTTTATACTTATTGCCAGTCAAGCATTTTGTAAATTATCGCTTTGCATCTCAAATTTATTACATTGTTTAGCTATTTTGATTTTTCATTTTAGTTTTAATTTTACTCGAAACTAGATTTACATACTTACATATGTACATAAATATGCTCATAACTTATTTTGATTTCTCCTTGTTCGCACTAAAAGGCAATGCGATTCATATCTTTCTACATATTGTTATTTACTAAATACATATTTTCATAAAGAAGTAATTTTATTATGAATTCATCAATTTAAGTAGCCATCCTAGCCAAAGGCATACTAAATATCATAGATATCGACAGAATTTAAACCATCACATAAGACTTCTTCTATGCTCGGTATGTGTATGGGAAGTGTTCTTATATTGGGGATTTAATTTACCATATGTTAATATACATGTATGCATACATTTCTTCTATGCAAATTTGACAAGCAAAAAAAATATATCGATTTTTTACATTTTAATTTTATAATTCAACCTTAAAGCAGGTTAAAGTTTAGTACGCAGATTTTCTTTCATAAATAAAATACAAAACATTTTGTCGAACTACTCACCACGACTCCTCTGCCAACACAGAAGCGCATATAAAAATTTTCGAGAAATTTTCGGTTCTGTTCGTAGTTCGGTTAGAAGCACGAAAAAAGCGGCGGTTAGGTTCGTTACAAAACCGGTTTGTACCCTTGGTTTACAGCAGCAATGGGCAGATAGAGCTTTTACTCTGCACGCGACTATACATAAAACTATAGATTAAAAAACTAGAACCTCCCTATTATAATTGCCATTCGTACTGTCATCAGGTATGTAACTTGAGAATAGAAATCGCTGCATCTTTTAGGCGCATCAATATTACATAGTTACATTCCGAGCTAATAAAAGGAAGGTAAAAATTTATAGAAAGCTTAAACACGCGGGCAAGCATGCATAGCCAAAGCTCTCTCTGCCCAACGCTGGCTTATAAGCCAAGCTTTTTTAAACTTTTTATACGGCAGTCACTAGCAAAACAAATCCAGCAAGAGAAGGTTTTAAAGCTTTCTCCATATTTTATACATATGAACACAAAGGGAGTAAAAGTTCTCCCTCTCTCTCCCGCGGACCGTCAGTACCATACGGAAATAGAGTAGAATATCTCTCTGACCACTATTGTTCTAATTCGGAGATCGACATTGCCTTGCCCGCGGGCAAAGCTCTTTTAAGCTTGCTATGTATTTTGTATAGAGGCGTGCAGAATAAAAGCTCTCTTTGCCCTTCGCTGTTGTAATTACATAAAAGTTTAAAAGATAAAATTTTAAATAAGGACATTTCCAATGCTTTTACTAATATTTTACATAATATCAAGCTATCTCCTGTCTGTCTTTCATATTTTTTTTAATCACACAACATACGCATATACATATACATACATATATGTACGCATACACCCACTCGAAAAATTAACTGCATTAAATTTCGTTACTATGATGAATGCTACCCTTCCGCTCTTTCCTATTTTCTTGAAATGTTTCTCTTTTTAATGCCTTTAAAGTTATTTCTTTTATAGAACATGTTTTATATTTGGCTTAAAACGTTACTTATGAGCGAAATCTTTATGAGCTTTTCGAGAACACCGAAATTTTGAGGATTTCATTGAAAAGTACTTTGGAAAATGTTTGAGTAATTGCAATTTCAAACTAAAACAATAGAAATAATAAAAAGTTTGCAATAAAAAAAAAAAACAGAGTTGAAATAACAAAATAAATTTTTCGTCTAACATTTAAAAAATGCTACGCGAGTATCATATTAAGCTTTGGCGCTTATCAATCCCATTGTGAATAACTTTTTTATCACGATTGAGGAGCAAAAGCTCGAACGAGCACACCCATTTTGTTTTTTTTTTTTTAAACTAATGAGTTAATTGAATTTACCTTTTTATGGGCAAACTACCTTATCTAATAAAAAGGTCCAATAAATCGTATACACTCTCTAAAAGTTCACCAGAAAATACGCTCATGATTAATGTTTAGTTTTTACTTATGTACATATTTTTTTTCTTTGAAAATTGTTTTCTTTGCGCTTGCATGTCTATAGTATTTATTTCAGAGACCGGGACAAAATTGGTAAGCCACTGAACACGAAGATGCCATCTGCGCCGACACACACGGCCGAGGAGGCACGTCTGTTGGGGTAAGCGCGTTGAAAATTACAATACATACATCATACGTCTACAATAAACTACTACAATTACAATTACAATTACAACTAAATAGCAACTACAACCTAAATACATAAGCAAATAGTTTTTCATCTTGAAAGAATCAAACAAAAAAATCGACAATGCAATCAATATACATATGTATACAAAATTTACATCAAACCAAATGACTTTTCGTGCATATAACAGTGTGTGAGCGTAAAAGAAACCCAAAAACCACTTTGCTGTTATATATATATTTAGCCCCCCGCCTTTTGTTAATTTACTAAAATATTTTTGAATTTAAATAGAATATAATTTTATGCATTTTCCTTAGCTTTTATAACGTACAAGAAAACAAATAGAAAAATCTTAGTTTGTATGATTATTCGTTTAATATTTTAACTTACTTTAATTTTAACCATACTCGTTAGCTTATAAACTATCATTGGATTTTTAGAAATATACATACATAGCTTATTATTAGAGTTGAAACACTTAGCTTAGCAGCTGTATGATAGTTTTTCTTTAAATTCCCTGCAAGCAAAGAGTTGCAAGAAAATTTCGGCTGAGTATTTTAGAAAAGTAAAATATGGCAACAAAAAAACACATACTTTATAAACACTAGCAATGGATTTGACTTAACAAATATTCAAGCCTAAGCCTGAACGTATTTACACACTAGTCTGATTTGCATAAATAGATATACACGCACATAAAAAATTAGCAAAAATAAAAAAAATAAAAACACGTGTACAGTCACTGGCAAAAGTAATGAAACACATTTACGATATTCAAAATGTTTTAATGGAAAATTTGTTTGTGTTAATTTTTTTTTTATAAATATAGAGCTCAATTTACATCAAAAACCATGTAAATAAAAATTTTAAACCTTGCAGTAAATTTGTACCAAAATTTCAAACTTTTTTTTCCAAAATAAATTCAGGTAGGCAATTTTATTTGTTCCGAATTTTCCAATTTACATAATTTTTATTGTAGAATGCGTTCAAAATTTATTTAAAAAAATGAACGACAAAAATTTACCACGAAAAACATTTTGAGTATGGTAAAAAATCAGTGTCCAAATATTTTTGTCAATGACTGTATTTTGCAATCAGACTCACAAATTTGAAAAATCCAAATTGTGAGCACACAATCCGATAGCATTAAAACAAAATAAAAAAATATATGCTATTTAACCAGTCTACCTGCTAGTTTGTTCAACTTGCATACTTAGTAAAAGCAAATGCATAAGTTTTAGAGTAACAACAATTCCACACCATAAGCTCAAACTCTACGCTTATTTTACATACACACCAAATGCTCAAATACCAATTGGAAAATCATAAAGACCTCCTCTCATCTAACTAAGTAGTTACCAAAATTCAAAAGTTACCACTTAGCATATAAAATTTATACGTATAATGCCCAGCAGTTAGTTATTCATGATAAGTCAGGTTGAACTTGCATAATTATTATACTTAAAAGAAAGTATTTTTTTCTAAATATATATGTTTCCATGTTGCTCATATTTTTCCCCCTTCAGCACCATGCCCATCGATCCCATGGACGATATTGAATTGCGGTCTGTGCAATTGCAATTCCCGAATGCACGCGGCTCTATTTTGGAGGCATGCGATCAACGTCGTGTGCCCACCGATAAAGGGGATATACATGTGGCCATACAGGGTGACACTTCTAAACCAGCCATTTTAACGTATCACGATCTGGGATTGAACTGTGAGTATGATTAATTTTTATAAAAAAAAAGAGTTCTTCTTAGTTCGATTTTGAGGGACATGGATAAAGTGATACGCGACTCTCTGATTTTTCTGCTGAATTGGCAGACAGTGTTTTGTAAGTAAAAGCATTGTTAGTGATAATGTAAGAATCTTATAAAATTAAGTGCCTTTTTCTCGAGTAGCTTAATTTATCTTCCCTTTTTTAAAGACAAAAGTTGTGTTTGAGGGGCAGATAATTTTAAAACATACTTAGGAAAACGGCTGCAAAAAATAAAGATAGAAAAATTCAAAAAGTTTTGCTCTAGAAATACTCTAATATGCTTTTCGCCGCAGTAGAAGTATTGAAGGATGCTTTACAGCGCCCTCACGAGAAAGAGAATATCGTATCATTTTATACTTGCTACAAAAGTAAGGTTAATTTACTGCATTCGGCAGTGGGTCGTATAAATATGTGTTAAGGAGCAGAGTTCGGCAAGTGCGGTCAGGGCCACTCGCAAGGAGGATTGTTTGAACCACTACGATGGCTCGTAGTCTTGAACCAACTATTAGTAAACTTGAACTCCCGGGAAATCAATTATGCCGGCGATAAAGCCATCACAACAGATTAGCGCTTACACATATGTTAGTGTTGGGCCGAGCTTCTCCTCCGATTTGTGGGTTGCGGTTTGATGTTGTTACACAAAGGGGAGGCACCCACAGTTTTACGCCGACTCCGAACGGCGATTGTATTTTTATGAGAAGCTGTTTTTCATTGCAGAAATACACTCGGAGGTTTGGTATTGCCTGACGAGGGGCGACCGCTGTTAAGAAAACAAATTTTTCTATATTTTGCGATGTTGCTCCGACCAGGGCTTGAACCCAGGCCCTCTGAGAGTCCCATCTTGTGCAGATGGTACCTTAGCCTGCAATGTCCTGTCAGGTGTCTGGTGAGAGTTCTTAAACCTTGTCTGCGAAGATTTAGCAGCCGTTCAGAGGTTCCTCGAGAGGAAGCTATGAATCTTTTGGACTGCCTATTATCCTTTGTCGAGCGCCATTGAGTTTTAACTTGCAAGTTCTGTCATCGCCTTAGGAGCTCTGCTGTGTATCCTTTGGATGGACCAAAGAAAGGCTGAGGACCGATCAGGCTCCGTTGGGCACCACATTTCGCTAGAGTGCCATCAGCCCTCTCGTTGCCATCGAATCCCTCATGACCCGGAACCCACCGTAGGGTTACTCTGTTACTGACTCCTAGTCTAACCAGTACCCTTTTGCAACTGTCTACTACCTTTGACACCGTTTTACAAGAGTCAAGTGCTCTTAACGCTGCCTGGCTATCCGACATGATGTTTATTGTCGCCCCATTTGTCCTTCTACGAAGACATTCGTGGACACAGACTTCAATTGGAACAATTTTCGCCTGGAATATGGTAGGGTATAAGCCCATCGCCACGCTTTTTTGAAATCTTAGTCCATATATGTCAGCCCCAGTGTCCCCTTCGTCAGGTTTTCAAGTTCTCTCGCCGAACATGGCGATTATCGTTTTACAGGTATCCCTTTCAGATATCATTACCGTGTAGGGCTTTGTAAAGGTCAGCTTCGGTAGCATTGAGTCTGTGAGTTTTACAACGGGATCATTTAAGAATGATTTTAGGACACTCAAGTGACCACTTTTCAAGCTTTATATTTAGTTTCGGTAGCCTCAGGGCGGTCCAGCAAGTCTCTTTCTCTATAAGTGCGGCTAGAGGCGGTATGCCTGTGATGACACCAAGCACCTCTGTCGGACACGAGCGCATATCCCCCATTATGGCCACACAAACCAGGCGGGTGAGCTTACCCAGAGTGACTTTAGAGGTTTCCTGCTTGGCTTTTGGCTACCAGGCCAGTGAGGCATAGATGACAATCGGTTTTATTACCGTATTGAATGACCATTATGTTAATTTCGGGAATATTCCCCAAGTATTACGATGAAGTCTTTGGCAATCATAAAATGCTCTCGTGGCTTTATTGGCAACCGCTGTGAGATGCGAGATCCAGTTGAGTCTCTTATCTAGTATTACGCCTAGATATTTTGCCTCAAGTTGAACTTCCTTCTATTGGTAAAAAACAGGATAGTTCGCACTACTACGAAATCCATGTCCAACACAAAGTTTGTAACTTTGTAACAACAAAAAAAATGTTTCAAATTTTCATCAAGTTTTCACTCTTTTTATTGAGAATCTTTTCGGGTACGCATTTTTACAGTTCATATAATTTTAGTATAATAAAGTAGTGAAGTGAAGTGAAGTGGCTACAAAATACCATTGATTTTTGGAATTTTTTTTTTTTTTGTTGACGGTGTTGCGTATTTTCTTCCATATGAAATAATAAGCGATCCATTCGGATATCAACGAAGATGCACAACACCGTCAACAAAAAAAAAAAAAATCAACAAAAAAATTCCAAACATCCGGTATCTTACAGCCACTTAAACTTTCACTTTATTAAACAAAAATTGAATGGGCTATAAAACTGCATATCTAAAAATAATCTAAAAATTCTGAATAAAAAGTGTGGACTTTTGAAGAAAATTTTACGACTTTTTTAATTGTTACAAAGTTAGAATCTTTGAGTTATATGGATTTTGTTGTAATGTGAACTACATTTTTATTAAAAATAATAAAATTTAAATAAAACAAAATTAAAAAAAGAAATGGAAAAAAATTTCCTGTACGATTTTCACTGACACTCACTGTACTTATATTGTACTTGTGTACATAACTATGCATTTTGAGATAATTCTTTTTACCCCATCTAACTCTATCCTTATTTTTTTAGATGCCACTAGCTTTGCTGGTTTCTTCAATTTCCCACCAATGCGTGGGCTGCTGGAGAATTTCTGCGTCTATCATGTTACAGCGCCTGGACAAGAGGAGGGTGCACCTACATTGCCGGAAGAGTAAATATTAATATTGATATCCATTTTATGTATATGTAGATGTATGGACGCCCAATATACTACTATGTATGTATCTTATTTCCACAGCTACATCTATCCTACCATGGATGAATTGGCCGCTCAGCTAGTCTTTGTGATGTCACATTTTGGACTCAAGTCGGTGATTGGTTTTGGTGTTGGCGCTGGCGCCAATATATTGGCCCGTTTCGCCCACACCAATCCGGATAAGGTCGGCGCTTTGGTGCTCATCAATTGCGTGTCGACACAGTCCGGTTGGATTGAGTGGGGCTATCAGAGCTTCAATGCACGCTTCTTGCGCACCAAAGGCATGACTCAGAGTGTCGTCGACTACCTGATGTGGCATCATTTCGGACGCAATCCAGAGGAGCGTAATCACGATTTGGTGCAAATGTATAAGCAACACTTTGAACGTGGCGTCAATCCCACTAATTTGGCTATGTTTATCAATTCGTATATACACCGCAACGATTTGAATATAACACGCACGCCACCAGGCACTCCCGGCACACAGCCATCGGCATGCACACTGAAAATGCCAGTGATCAATATTACTGGCGCGTTGTCGCCACATGTCGATGATACGGTTACCTTTAATGGGCGCTTGGATCCAACAAATTCATCTTGGATGAAGGTTTGCTAAATAGCTTAGCGAATCCCTGGAATGGAATTTACTTTATATTTTTTTGTTTTGCTTGCAGATCTCCGATTGCGCCATGGTGCTGGAGGAGCAGCCAGCGAAATTGGCCGAAGCCTTCAGGCTTTTCCTGCAAGGCGAAGGCTACGGTAAGTGTTAAGCTAATGCGCAACTTAAATTAAACATACATAACTAAAAGATAATACCATCACCTCCACCACTACCACAAACATAACGACCACTACTTACACAAATTACTACTACTTGCATAGTTTCAATTTACCACTCGTAGCCTAAATTCGCATTCGAGATATCGTTACGAAAATTCAAAATATTTTAAAAGAAAAAATGAAATGATCGGCCAATCGTTAAGCGCAATCATTAAAAAAAACGCTAACAATTCAATTACATAGAAGAGCATACGAAATAGCGTTAAACATAAATAACTAGCCAATTGCGTATAATTTTTTTAGAAGACATTTTTAGTCAAATGAAGTATTATTCATATTTACGAATGCATATAACTAGTGAAAGCACAAATTATTTACTATTGAAAATTAATTTTGAATTAAGAATCATTAAGCTATATTAGTCAATATTTTACACACACTACACTGCTGCCCAAATCAAACACAGATATATATAGAAGCTTTTAAACCAACAGACTAATATCAACAATTGAAGTACTGCTCCTTAATCATTGGCATTAAATAGCATTACCTTAATTCATTTCAGAAACTAGTAAAGTATCCTCCGGTTAATTGACTACGTTTAACCCTTATTTGAACCAATTCGTTAATTGATTTTCGTGCTTAATTAAATTTTGAAAGCGGAGGTTACTGTAGAGTGATTTTTTTTTTTTAAGCTATATCAAAGGCAACGAAATATGGAAGTATGCGTGAGATTGAATAAAGTCGGGATTCTCCTTTCCTCGTTTGGTTTTAGTTATTTAAATTTAGCACTGTATATCAGTAAAAACCACTTGAAATTTTTATGCCCAGTAAACAGTCTGTCTCGGCCCGAATCACGCCATTTTTTGCCAAAAAAGTTAATTGAAGGAGATGCACTTCGATACCAGAATTTCCGCTCTTGCCACCATTCCAAATCCCTCATTATAAGAGCACTAGGTGAAGCAGTTTCCTTGAGAAAAAGATCTATAACGCTTAAGATATCTGCTGGACATGATCGGACCGTTATAGTAGGTGCGTTTGTCTCAACAAATTTTCACAAAAAAAATATGATTGTCCATTTTTGGGATTAGCAGGTCTATTCTGCGGAGAATTGCTGAATATTTTAACTATATTACCAACGCACCTAGAATTGCGGTGACAAAAACTGGTAACATTTTTTGGTAATAAAATTGTCCGGTTGCAAAATCTTCGGTAACATGCAGAATAGACCTGTAATAGGCTCATAGACATTGGGGGAGAAATGCTTCAAGTACCACTCTGCTAAACTCACATTTGATGAACTATCCATTGAAATTGGTTTCTGCATATTTCAGCAATATTTTGGTATGACACAGAAAGTCATCGCTTCCCAATCACAGACGTTCTCAAAGAGCCAACAATGACTAAATAAAAATTTTGTCATGTCTCCTCGTCGGGAATGGCATTAGTCATCTACTATCTCAGGCAGACTGGGTTTATCTTTTTTACTATTCGAGTTAACGCCTCTCTCTTTCACTAGAATTTTTTTTTTTTGAAAACAGTGACTTTCATTGACTTAATTTTTAAGGGTAGCTCCCTTAGTCAATCCAAGTCAGTCATAATGACAGTTTTCGCCAAAAGATGGCGCTGCCGTCAATTAGTTTTTTTTTCGAACCTAGGAACTTGAATTTCCGCCTAGGGTAGAGTACTATTTTAAATTCAACTTAATGTGCAGCGCTAATTTTTAGCAGGTTTATGTAAATATTTTATTGGCATTTGATTTTTGACCCCGTCATACAAATTGGTATTCGCGGTAGCGCACTTATATTACGCTTCTGCGTCTACATATACATAAGAAAACCTACCAGCCAGGTATAGAAAATGGTTTTTGAATTTAATACATACGTGTTAACAAAATATGAAAACAATAAAAACAACGCATGACGCTTACTTTATATCTAACCCTTAAAGCAGTGCTTATTGTATATGGCATAAAATACATTAGTGCAGCGATATTTGTGTATCTGTGCCCAAGTGTACAAAAAAAAAAAAATGTTATAAGTAATTAAACTTAAATACATATATACAACAGAAAAATGTGTAATGAATATAATTTACTATTGCCATACCTAAACAAAGTATTAAGTCATGGTAATTGTTGCGCTGTATGCAAATGGAGAATTAAATTAAAAAAGACCGGAAACAAATACATAAAACTATTTACATTATACTCTATTTACATATATATAAACACTACAAAGCTTATCTATCCACTTTATAACAAGTATTCACTTAAAAACAAAAACATATATACTGGCCCATTTACATAAAATATGCGATTAAAAAGTTGAATTTCAAAAACTAAAACACTTGTGGACATACACACTCGAACATACTTACATACATATATAGCTAGAAAATTATGCATACAGAAAAACTGCTACAATCACAAATATACTCTATATAATCGTGCTATACTACAAATACATACAAACATATTTATTAAAAATCAAATTATATTTATGCAAAATCGTACAAAATTGCATTCGTTTCATTGCGCTTAAAACTTTATGAGAATAAGTTATATAAGTTTACTTATATAATTTTATCCAAACATCTATACAAGACGAAATTTGCAAAAAACATTAATTAGTTCATATGTTGTATTGTAAAATTTGTTATAATTAATATTTTTGAATAAGATCGGAACAAAGTAAATTGATTGGATATAATCATAAATAAAATAAAAATGTTGTTCAAATTAAAATTCGTTGCATCATTTTGAGGATAAGTTTACAGTTTCTACAACATCATACATTTGCATGTGAATATTATGTATGAAGAGGAAAAACTCTTTAAGTTCGAGGAAGTAAATGAGGGTAGAGGCTAGCTGTGGCTCACTTGAAATACTGAGAGTCAACATAAAACCCATCGCACTGTCTTCGAAAATTGGTCCGAAGCCACTGATTACCTTAAAGATTGATTAAAGAGTGTTTTGATTTTTTTTCTGACACATGTTAAGGAGTTAGTACGAGCATAGTCTAGTGTACGGTGATCATATTTTTTTATAAATAACGATAAAGTAAAAATTTTCATACGTATATTCAGAGGGACCAAGGCGAATTTATAAAGGTAAAAAAGGGTGTAAAAAATTGCAACAACAAATTATACGCACATTGACAATCAGTACAAAGCAAAATTACAACGAACACATCATATTGACAAAAGGTACAAATTCGCCATGAAATCAGCGGATCAGATAACACCACCTACATACTCAAAAAAATCTGATTAAATAGTTGAAACTTTTCATGAAAATTTGCTGAATGTTCGCGAGTTTTGCACAAAGTTTAGGAATTATATTTTTATGTTTTTTGTTGTTGAAGGACCATATTTTTATACAAAATTATCGGAAAATTATTAGAATGGAAATTGTTGCATATATTGTGAAAATTTTGCTGTGCCAATACTTTGTTCCGGCAGTTTATATTTATTTTAAATTTTCATTGCATACTGTTTTAAGGCAAAAAATGTAAGAAATTTTAAACATTTGTGAAGGTAATTTCAAGGATGAAAATAGTTTTTTTAACGCCATTTATTGGGAATTTATTTAGCCAGGTGTTCTAAGTCTCGTTCTCGAGATATTCGAATTTGTCACAAAAAAAATTTTTTTTCTTCGAGGTTATAGTACACATCTACGAGAATTATGCTGGTTTTGCACTAGGTATTAAATGACAAAAATTTTAATTGCAAAGTTGGGCATTAAAAAATATTCGTGTCATTGCGTTAAAGAAACAGACATTAAATTCATTTCCACATGGCTTTTTTTAAATGCCTCAAATTTTTTGTCATTTGGATGCCTAGTGGAAATTTGTCATAAGGGAGCGCGAGCTTTGCCCGGGGCTGCCGTGCTTTTAACGGATAGTTTACCTTTTACCTCCACCAAAGCTCTTGAAGTTATCTCTGATCCTTTTCCGATAGGCTTTAATGGCAAACTCTATGTTAGCTGCAATGCTACTAGGCAAAAATCTTAGCTGACTTAGCTAAGCTTAGCTTAGTTTCGGGGGCTATGAAATATATCGGGAGCTAGATTATAATACTCTAATGCTTTGTTTTTATAAGAATCTCCATGAGCAGATAATGGGAAAACGTAGCGCTCTTAAAAACTCATAAAGCAATATTTTATTGATTGATTCAGATGAGATGATGAAATAATAAAAAAATTTTTAAATATTTATTTCTTATAATTCCTCGTTTTTATCAGCCACAACTTTCAAAGGCTTCACTTAGGTTTTATTTTTTAATCTTTGTAAGCAAAAGATGCCGTTTTTATTCACACTGAAATAACTCTGAATCGAAGTCAATATAGGGTGCATTGTTTGCGGAGGCAGCGAAGTACCTAATGCCATATTAATCAGTACATTTTTCATATTCTATTATCCATTCTATCACAACACATTTGCATAAATTAATAACTGAGAAAACTTCTGGCAAAATTAAACTAAAATATGAACCAACAAATACAATTATTTTCCCTAACACACCGCTCACATTATGAAATACAAATGACCAAAACGCTGGGAAGTAATCGAAATTTAATTTGGACATACAAATATTTTCTTTTCTTTTTTCTCTCTTTTATATCTCCTTTTCAAATGTTTATATAATACAAATCCAAACGAAATCCCACATACATACCTGCTACCAAAAAAAACTTACATACACATTCACAAACACGCTTGAAAAATCCGTGACAAACCTTGACACTTGCATTCAATCTTCATTTCAAATTATTCATTGCCATGCAACATTGAAATAATCACACATACGCCATATGCAAACGCTTTGTGTGAAAAAAATATTGAAATACATAAAAATATCTGCATCTGAACGCTTGAATATTGCTATGAAATTTCGCAATCATTTCATATTTTATATGGAAATGTTAAAAAAAAAAAAAACAAATTAATGAATGTAACCAAATATACTTTTTTATTGAT